TTATCCTTTGATCATCCTGGATCTCCCCATGCCACACACTCGCCGGTGATGGAGAGCTGACTTCAGAATCACTCTGTTCAGCTACACCAGCACTCAAAATACACACTGGTGAAAGGAGCTGATTTTAAAACACGGACCTCGGCTGCCCCTGTTCCCCGCCACCGATACCCTCACACTGGCACAGCACCAAGGGAGACCCAGGTAGGATGTGTTCCCTTCATGGCAGCTAGGAAGCATGCCAGCGAAGCGGGTCTCCCAACCATTACATCACTGCAGGCCCTGCACAGCAATGTTCATCATGGCCATCCAGCTCAGGATGTCAGACGTGTCCCAGCACAAATGCCCACTGCTTTGTGGGAACCTAAGGAAAAACAGCTTCCAGCTTCCAAAGTCTGAGAATTGCTGCTCTGAAATAGAGCTTTTTTTTTTTTTTTTTTCCCAATTCTCATGGGCCACGTTGTCTAGAGCTCTAGCCTTTTTCCTTTTCCCTGGATGCTTTCAACAGGCCCAAAGAGTGCTGCTCAGAGCAGAAGTGGTGTACCAGCCACACAAATGCTAAGCAGAGTGGAAAAATTATTTTGCATGTCTTCCACACAGACTCTTGTCCATATATTCTAGCATAATGTTTATGACATAGTATTGTTGATTCATAGCCATTTTCTGGTCTCCTGCAACTGCCCATCTGTTTTCTGCAGACCTGCTGTCTCACCAGTTATACTACATTTTGATTTACGCAGCTGATTATTCCAGCCCAACCACAATTTAGAACTTGTCCTTAATGAACTGCATCATATTTATTTTAGATCAGTTCTTCAATAGACCGCGTTAGTTTTGAATTCTAATCTTGTGCTGAGAGGGTTTACATCCTCTCCCTCATTGGTGTCTTCTGGAAATTCTGCATGCAGATTCTATCATCTAAGTCATTAATTAAAATATTCAATATTTTCAAGCAATCCTGGGCAGAATCACGCTTGACATATCCTTCCAGCTTGGCTATGAATCACTATTAATTAACCTGAGAATAGCTTTCCAGCCAAGTGGGTGCCTACCTTGTAGCCCACATTGCCACCCTGCTAATGAAAGAGTGATAGCCTTTCAAAATCAAGACATGCTTTCTCTGCTCACAGAGAAGTTGGGTTCAACTGACAAGGTACATCCTGGAAGAGAACAATTTACATTTATTTATCTCATTATCATTGACAGGTTCGTTGTAAAAACAAAACACACACAAAAAAAAATGTTCATTTTTTGATTCTGACATCTTTTCCCCAAAGACTTAGATTAGCCATCCACTTCAAAAGGGGGAAAAAAGAACCCACAAAAGTTTACAAGTAGAAGCATTGTTGGGCCCTTCACAGCTTGTTTTTTTTTGAACCTCGACTGTCCTCTAAATGTTCTCCAGTGGAACTGCTAATTGCTCACATCCTACTCAAGCTATTTCATACTATGCTGGAGAGATAATTTAATAAGCTGTTGCTTGTTTTAAAATACCTATCTCATCTAATTAGTTTATTATCAGGTTTTTTTTCCTGTTCTGTTTGGAATTCATACCTGTCTTGAAGTAGAATTCCTTTTCTTGCCACCTGATTGCAATCTCCCTTTTTGGCAAAGAAAGATGCAAAAAAAGTCATAAACTACTTGGTCCAACCTGCACACATCAGATCACAGGTTTTGCCCTTCCTTCTCTATTAGTAGTACAGAAAGTCAGTCTTCCTCTTATTACTAGTGAGGATATAGTACGTTCCCTTGTACCATATACTTTACCAGCTGCACTTTATGTTGTGCCTTGGCCTATCAAATTTGGACCTTGCAAACTCCAACTACTCTTTTATATTCATCTTGGTAGCACATATAGTATCCAATTTCTGGTCAAGTCCTTCTCATTTTTCAGATCATGCAATCTTCTTTTTTTTTTTTTTTTAATAGAGACATCTTTTATTTGTGCTTTTAAAACTCTTTATTATGACTAGAAAAGAAAAAGCTAGATCCTTTAAAAATTGTAAGCCTTCCTGTAATTTTTAGGTTTGTTTCCCGCGAAATCTTTCCTGTCAGTTCTACGAGCTTACTTCCTTGCATATTATTGCCTTCATTCTGAAATTCTCTCATCTTCTGAAGAACATGATTGCTATCACTCAAATTGCCTTTTATCATCATAGGCTCAGTCATCTCTTTCCTAATCAAGCCCAGAAGCACTTTCATTGCTTTTTCCACATTCTGCAATCCCAAACCTATCATACTTGCACAATCCATTGAAATTATCATTAAGGCAGTAAAGTTAAAATGGTTTTACCATATACTGCTGTTTGATAATAAATGTTAAATACACTATACCTCTTGGAACAAGAGCCATGTGTAATAAACAGCAACTCTGGCATCTGTATCAATAAACTGAGCATCAAAGACAGGATGAAAGTAACTTCTAACCTTACCAGTAAGCCTTCCTAGGTCACAGCATATTAGGAGAGGTAGAAATGAGTGCTTTGAAACACTCTAAAGGTGGCTACAACACAGAGGTATCGTCCTCCAAAGCTTCTTTTAGCAGCACTACATTCAGCTGTAAATTGAAAATGATTGCCGTAGTTGTTCCACTAGCTACAATCACTTGGCATGGCTAGATTCAGTGTTGACACTGCACTGCTTTCAGTCAACAGCTTCTTCTGTGCAAATTAGCTCACTTCCACATGTAGTCATGCCCCCTCTGCCACTAGCCACTACTGTTTACTTCTACGGTTAACTCAGCATACCAACAATAGGAGCAGCACAGCAAGGATAAGAGGAGGAACTATATGCACCTAGCACTACACTGTTACCTCAGGAGCATGTTATGCTAATGTAAACTCTATGAATTTGTCTGAGAAATACACACCTACCCACTGTATACTGCAAGATGTGCTATAGAAATCTAACAAGGAACATGAAAGACCACCAAAAAGCAAATTCAATTCAAGCTAGGAGAAATGCAAGTCTCTGCCTTCTTCTCATATAAAAGCAATGGTAACTCCACCTGTTTGCTTTACAAGTCTCCTGCCCATTTCTTCTAGAATTCTCCTGAATGCATGGTGCAACTTAACTGTACTAAAGAATTAATAAACATTTAGTTAATAAGATTTCAAAATGTTTATTAATTTCTTTACCTGAGAGCAACTCCAAGGAATATAACAATTCCTTATGAGAGAGAGAGCACAACCCTCAGGCTCTCCAAGTCCCCAGAACAGGTACGAATCTACTGGGTTGTCACCACAATCTGACTACTGTCCCAGATCTCCAAGGACACCAGTTTCATTATTTGCCATTCCCTTCTACCCGGCAGCAGCAGCCATGAGGTTAGCAACAATCTGACATTCTGCTGCCTTAGCAGTCTGATCCAAGCCAAGAACCTGACCTTCTAGGCACTAAGGGATAGTAGATGCTGTGGTAGAAGAGTTTTAAGTTGTAAAGAAAACAATATAACATTACAAGGCTGTTACGGGTAACAGTTTTCAGACAGAGACAAGCTGCAGCAGAAGGCAGGGCGGGAAGAGGGAACAGATACTAAACCGCAAAGCCAAAGCTTTCTATGGAGAACAAAAGAGTAGCAGGAAGAAGAGGATGAGTGGAGGAGGGCTGGCAGAGTGGCAAGGAGAAAGAAGCACAAAATGCCCAAGCATCACACCTGGGAGCTGTGGGAGCATGCTATGTGTCCAGCAGAGGCAGAAGAGCCCTGCAATGGTTCCTCACTTCACATCTCCCAACAGCAGTGAAACACTCAAACAGCAGGGAACTCAGAGACAGAAAATGATATTCCTATACACACAAGCCATAATCCAGGAACCATTTGAAAGCAGAATTTTTTATATGGAGAAATAAATGTCTCACACATCACTTATTTTCACTTTGGTATTAATCTATTATCTAGGCCCATTAAGGCAAGAGAACTATCCAACCGATTTTTTATCTATTTCTCGCAGGGTCTCAGCTGGCAAGATGATGTGGAAAAAAAAAGAAAAAAAAAGAAAAAAAAAAAAGCAGGAAGGGGGATATCAGAAGATCCTGATTTCTCCCACCTCTCAGATTATAAATCAGTTCAGGCAGAAGACATGCAGTGCGTTCCAGGGCAGTTTACACTAGGGGGAGCTTCTCTCAGGGAGACCCACCACCTTCGTATCCTTTCTTACTACATTATTTCGAATACATCTACACAGAAGTGTACTGGAGACAGTTGAAACAATTATTGTTTAAATACTTCGGTTTTGCCACTCAGCTGAGCCATGAGGAGTTTAAGCACAACTTAGCACAATATCACAGAATGGCTTGGGTTGGAAGGGACCTTAAAACCCACGTAGTCCCAAACCCTCAGCTGTGGGCAGGGCTGCTCCCCAGCAGCTCAGCTGCCCAGGGCCCCATCCACCCTGGCCTTGAGTGCCTTCAGGGATGGGGCACCACAGCTTCTCTGGGCAGCTGTGCCAGCACCTCACCATCCTCTGAGTAAGGAATTTCCTCCTCACATCTAACCCAGATCTCCCCTCTTTTAGTTTACAACCACCTTCCCTTTTCCTATCACTATCAGGCAGAAATCTAGCAAGTTCTGCTCTGAGGCATGCTCTGGCTGTAGTGATAGATCTCAATGCTGCCATGTTTCTGAGAAGCCTCCTGACACAATGTCCATCCTGTACCCTCACCAAAATCCCACATTAAAGGTAAGAGCAACTTAATAGACTACATTTTACACAACGGAGATAGGCCCAACTGACCCAGGAGGCTACTCATTGTTAAGCTGTTAATGAGCACTTTAATGAGGAAAGCAAAGATTTAACTTCCCTAAGGCTTATAACAATTCATTTCAGGGGGGCAGAAAATAAAGATATTATTCACTGTTAATACCAGAGTTGAACTGTTCCTCAAGTGAAATGTTTTATAACGTTACTTAAGCTCGAAATACTACAAGATACTATTCAACTTATTTTCAAAACTCTAGTAAACTGCCTCAAAAGTACTAGGTTAACTACAAGAGAAATTCTTACCTGTGAAAGCATTTGTGGCCTGAAAACCAGCTTCCTGCATACTGCTCTCCCAGCAAAGCTTGTGATTCCAACCTTAACCTGTCCTTACTGGAGACAACTGCTGAGCTTGAAGCTGTCAAGTCACTTCCATCTTCGCCCGTCAGAGTCCATTTCTCTTTCTATTCCTGGATTTGGCACCATCCAATTGCCACCTGATCCCGGGTCTTTCAGTCTGTAGGCACTGGGGATATCTGCACTGAACCCAAGCAGCAAGCGTTGGACAGTCCCATCAACCGGCCAGCCAGAGGATCTGAGCCATGGTGGACGTGGAAATGAAGAAAATCATCTGCCAGGACTCGATTTTCCTTTTACAACTAAGTTCTAATCCTCTGTTCCTCCAGCACCATTTTTTCAAGGTCCCAGCCAATGGTGGTGTTCAATTGTCTCTCCTCTCTCGTGTTGTCTCCTCTCAGGCACGCTCACTGAGAAATTAAAAAGGAAGAGATTATGTTTCCTGATGACCTGTAGCAACATTAAAATTAACAGACTCTAGGGAACAAAAACCCAAAACACATTATCAGGAATTGATTGTACACATTAAAGGAGATCTTCAGAAGGCAAATATTGCGATTTTGCTGAGATGTAAAGTGTGACCACACAGCTCTTTGAAGTGCAAAGAGGAACAGTGCTGAGGGTGTCATATGCATCTCTGAGAACATGATATGATTTACATTTCAAAAGCCACATTTAGCAGAGATGGGGGCAGCAATACAATAACAAAATTGCAGTTGAAAGGGAAAAGGAAAAATACTCAAGGCTCTCAAAGTCTAGTCTATTCAAAAACCACAGTGAGATTATTAGCATTTCATATAGCTGCTTCCCGTCTCTTTTGGAGCAGGAAAACGAAGCACTGGATGCCAATGCTCTACACGCTGTTCTGTCTTCTGAGGTTAAAAACCTTTCTACGTCTGTGCCATTGATTATCTGTTTAAAATCTCGACTGTAACACAGATGACACAACTCAGACATCTTCCAACATTCGGTCATGTTAAAAATACCCATAGGCTGTACAAGAGAAAGGTGGGAAAGCTGTTCCTGATACTACTTCTCCACGAGAGCATGGCTGTTTGCAACTCCCTGAAAACCAGAGCTGCTGCATACCTAGTTTTCTGAAAACTAGGATACATTAATAGGGTGAAGGACAGCAGCAGAAAAGTACATACGTAGGGAGAAGATTAAGAAAAAAAAAGGAATGGTTTTGCTCACAGAAAGAAAAGAGGACTTGGGAGAAGAATCCACTCGCCCCCAGCCATCCTCCTCCTCCGTAGTGCTTGGCTCCCCTCATTCAGTAGCACAGGCAAGTCAAAGCTACGTCAGTGATGATCTTATAATCTACTAATGGATTTTAACTAATGAGTCTAGTCAGCACTTGCAGTACTGGATCAGGATGAAGTCCACCTACCGGGGCAGCCCATAGCAGCGGGTGGAGAACCACCGCCAGTCCCAGCACTGCGTGCTCCAGCAAACGGTGTGAGTTCAGGCTCAACAGATGTGTGCAACCCACTGCCTGCTCCCCAACCCCACTTTGATGTCTATTTTGACCTGTCGCACCTAGTGACCAGCCAACAGCCTGAAGCACATGGCTGCACGGCCCCTAACTGCAAAGAGGATTCTCCGCTTGCAGCACCTCCTGCTCCACACACACAACTGCATGCAAAGCTGGCTGGTCCTCAATGTCTTTATTAGGGCTTTTTGTGACAGACAAAAAAGAATCTGCTCTCAGGTGTGTTAGTGCCACGAGTGTGACACCTGATGAGCACTGACTCTCTGGAATACACTGAACAAAAATTAGATGCTATGATGAATTTTCTATCCTAATGATATTGCTACTGTTTTCTCAATTCTGGGAAGTCAGTATTTCTGAAAAACACAAATTTTTGCTCAAAACACAACGCAGGACATTCAATTCATATAAGGCTACAGATCACATTCAAGATATTTTCCCCACTTCTTACCAAAACAGCCCAACTTAACAGAAGAGAACACAAAAGTGAAAGAAAAACTGACAATAAAGCCTTTACGTGTCATAGTTCCTACCAGAAAAAAATGAATAAAAACTTTAGATTAACATTTGACAAGATACTATTCGTCATCCTCAGCCCTTCAATGTGCTCTGTGCAACTAATAGCCATTTCATATGAGGTCATTTTAATTTAAAGTACATACCACTGAACAAGTAAAATATACATACATCATAGCACAAATTCCTCTTGGCTCCTCACAGCATGCTAACTATTCCGTAATGACTACAGATAGATGCTGCACTCATCTCCCAAGCTTTTTCTCTAGAGGTCTGAGTTTCTTCTATATTTACAAGAATGGGTCCATATTTGCATTCATTTTCAGCCTTCTAGCTCATGGTTTTGGTTTATAAATCCACAATTTTGATGCTTTCCATTTTTCAGCATTTTCATGTTTTTCCTCATTCTAACGATTCTCAAGAGATTCACACCAATACCTTAGCAACCAGGGAAAATCTCTCATGTTACTAAATAGCTACATCTTCATATTAGATATAACACACTTCCAGTTGTTTAGAGAATAAAACACAATTACTTTTCTGAAAATTAACTTTTTAGTGAAAGAAAAATTATTTTCCACATCTACAGCATCCCTGCTAAGCTTGTTAAGAACAAAGTGGTGCTGCAGAAATTCTACAGAGCTGGCACATTCAGCAACCGCTGCTTGTTCCCAGGGAAAGAATGGGATTTTAACAACTATTCTGGACACTGAAACGCTTGCAGAGTTGGCTTGGAGCTCAAACTTTAAAAGGTACTGCACTCATGCATCAGTCTTAAGACCTCCTTAAGGCCTCAAATGCAAGAAGAGTCCGATATCTCACAATTACCCTAAGTGAGCATCTGCTGCTGCAAGAAGCGCTCTTCTCCTTTGGCACTGAGCTGGGAAACAGCTGGCAGGACATGAGCAGCAAACTAAGCAGTGCTGACAGAACTACAACAGTGTGTGATCTTCAGTTGCCCATTAAAGTTTTCACAGCCTGTGAAGAACCCAGTGGGAACATGTCCCATTGTATTGGTAAAGAGAAAATCTAAAATAGAAAGACCTAGATACTTTCTCTTTGCTCCATCTGTTACCTCCTTTGCAACAGGAACTCTGCTCCTACTTCTGCTTTCATTCATCCATTGCAGTGTTAGGAGCGTCTGAAGCACACCAAAGGAAAACATCATATTTTATAAATACATGGCTGTGCCATAAAGATTTTCAGCTAAGTACTTACATGACTAAAGAAAAAAAAATGAAATGCTTTTTTTCCCCCCTTCTCTCCACTTTTCTCAGATTTGAGCTTGGGAAAGACACCATCACGTAAACCTCACACAAACTGCAAACAAAATATTTGGACTATTTAACACATTATGTGAGTTATAGGTTCTCATGGTATAGTTAGCCAGCCAGCATGTTATTGCTCTTTTCTAAATAGCTAATGATTATATATTAAAGGGCCACTTTAAAAAATAATCTGAGAGAGAAGTGGCAGCCAGGGAGTGTAATTAAATCCTGCAATAATATCTACATTTTATGAAGTGTTGTGCAATCATTAGTCAGGACCAAGCCTGGAGGAGCTTGCACAGAAAGAAGCAAAACACTAATTTTTCCAAGATTGGTATCTCTTAAACATCTTTAACAACTCAAAAACATTTTGAAAAAGTTACTGACCAGCTTGTGAGCTACCGATTAATTTAACTTCATCAAGCAAAAACTCACGGCTTGAGCTTTTAGCTTTTGGGTTAAGGAAGAGTGAAAGGGCAGTGGTACCAAGACCCCCACAGCAGAACACTGCTGAACAGTGGCTGCAGGAGGGCAGGAGCAACAGGGGATTGCAACAAGCCTCCGCATCGAGAAATTCAGCAATCCGCCTGAAGGGAGGACTGCCAGAGCTGAACTACCCATATGCTTCAAAACCCTTCCCAGTAAGGCCAGTATGTTTTGAGGCAGCATCAAACTGGATATAAATCTAAGAAGCTTCTGGCTAAAAAATAAAAAATATATATGTATTTTTTTTAAAGTCTGACACTTTATATTTATAAAACAATGCTTGTAAAAAAATCTTCTGCAGTTTGCTACAGCAGCTGAAAATGAAGCATGTGTGCATACAGAGCTTACCTCTCCATCCCCTACTGGAGCCTGCCAGAGTTTGCCAGGCTTTGGGTTTTCTTCTTATGGAGACTTCTAAACTAGATACTAGCATTTATCAGTTATACCTAATTCTTCTTAGATGGTAAGATCTGTGTTTCACAGTGTGATCTTCATTTACTTCCATCTATCATTTGTCTTCTTTAAGATAACACTTCACCAGTGCTAAGTGAACCGTGGGTTTTGGGAACTACTGTGCTTCGTAACTCAAAGACACTTAGAAAACTCAAGGTGACATTCACAGAACATACAGAAATCAGACCAAAAACCAGATGTTTAAAATATGTTTACCTAATCACATCTTTCTCATGCACAGATATACATCATTTGTTTTCACTTTCTATTTTCACTGTACAGCTTAGTTGTGACATTTCAAGCAGCTGCTCTATTTCACTTTTTTGGTGAATTTCTGTGGCTGACACAATTAGTCTGTATGTTAAGTTACATCATACATATTTCTATTCTTGTAGATACTTTCAGATATGCTTCAGCTTGTTCAGGAATAGTATCCAAGCTTTCTTCCTTCTTTTCTTCTTGTTACAGAACCCTCTGACTTGCAGCAAACATGAGGACCATCTAAGCAAGCTGTGGTCCCCCTGCATCAGTTGGAGAAGGAAATGGGACTCAAGAGGGCAGATTGCCAAAATGAAGCATCTTTTTTTCTAGCCTTGTTACAAAATGATCTAGAAAGCAAGATATATCCCCCAATGCCAATGTCAACACACACTGCAAAAAACACCACAGGCGAAGTCCAGTTTTAAAGAAAAAGAATAAACATTTCAGTAACAGTATTTCTCCTCCTCCATCCTCCTGCTTCTGTTTGTTTATTTCTCTTTTCAATGAAACACCGATATAAAATGGGCCTGTTTAGTAGCTTCCTGCCAAAGTGAATAGCCTCTGGTAATCAGACAGCAAGGAATATTTCTCTTGGACAAATCCTATAAATAACTGATAACACAAAGGAGCACGCCACATTTCCTTCCATTAATCTTGTTAACTGAAATAATTAATGTGAGTCCTCTATATTCTACCTCTCTGAAGAAAGTACAGAGCCATACATTTCCCTATAGTTCCACTGACAGAATGCAGTTAAAACCCCAGTGGAAAAGTTCACTCAAATCTCCATGACAAGCTATTGGGCTTGGATGAGATAATTATTGCGAGAAATTGTAGGAGCTGTGTTATGCAGGGCAAATGAGAAGATGGCACTGTTTGTTTTTGGACCTTAATAAAACTATAATTACCAGAAGATGTAAAAAAAAAAAAATCA